AGTCCGGGATATAATGGGGAAAGGTGGAAAGTATTTGTGGTCAATATCACTCGGGTTCTTCCACTCCCTTTCCTCTCTACCTTCTTCCTCTCCTCCCTCCCTTTCCTCTCTACTTTCCTCCTCTCCTCCCTCCCTCCTCACCTTCTCAATCTATCCCTCAAGAAAGACCTCCTCAGGGTTGTTGTGATAGTCCACTTTGTACAGAGAGTTTAAATTGTCTCCCATATCCCTTCCCCCCTCTCCACCTGCCCCTATCCTCCCCTCTCCTCCTTCTTCCCCCTCCCTCCTCCCTCCCTCCTCACCTTCTCCATCAATCCCTCAATGAAGGCCTCCTCAGGGTAGTTATGATAGTCCACTTTGTACAGAGAGTTGAACTTGTCCTGTTTGCTGGTCCTGGATCCGGCGGCAGACGGCGGGAAAAGTTCCCGGCTGTCCTCGTTCACCAGCCGGAGGTTGCGGGCGATCCAGTTGCCTTTTGGCGCCTCGAAACTGGGCACCAGGGGGACTGCTTCTGTCTTGGCCGTTGCCATGGTGACAGTTGTGAGGGGGCGCGGCTTGTCTGGAGTGACAGAGAGAAAACAATGGTAGACTCTAAGCAATAATACCGAAAAAAACAATGAACAAACAAAAACAAAGCAAAACCAAGCCAAAAAAACATATGTGAGGCAGCGTGGTGGAATCAGGCTCTCGTCAATTTTTGGGCATGTAGAGGTTTTGGTATCATCTTAAAGCTTGTTCACTTGTCTTTATTTGAATGAAAAAAAAAATATCCATTTACCTTGAATACAAGTTGAGATATTTCCGAATGAAGGGGGTGGGGGTCACCTGTTTTCAGAGGTAAAATTAGTGAGAAATGGCCGGCAAAGATTAGTTATTTCCCTAGCTTAAGAATCCATGGTAACTGAAAATTTACATTTTTAGTTCCTTTAATCGACGTTTTTACGAAAAAAATCCACACAGAAATTAGTTCTTTAAGGGCATGAAAGATGTTGAGCCAATAAACAAAATTTTATAAAAACTCACAATCCTGCGGGAAAATGCAACTTTCTTCACTTTGATTATTTTGACGAGAGGCTGATTCCACCACGCTGCCTCACATATGTTTGTAATACCACGACAATGTGCAGTCAGGCGCGCATGAAATTTTGGGCGTATGGATTTGTTGGTATCATCTTACAGTTCGTTTATTTGTCTTTCTTTTTATGAAAAGAACATGCAAACTGTCTTGAATAGAAGTCGAGGTATTTGCAAAGAAGGGGGTGAGGGTGGTCTGGGGTCAGAAGTACAAGTGGAGAGAAAATAGCCGGTCAAATTTTCTGACTTCCAAAGCTTGAGTGTCCAAAAGAAACTGGAAATTTATATTTTTGTGCAGTTTGCAATAACATTTTATTTGCAATAAAAATCGACGACGCAGGAATGTGTTTTAAGTAGAGATAAAAGGTGGTGAGCCGAAGATTGCTGAACGAGTGGAAACATGTCGGTTTCTCTGATTTCATGACTTCTACCAGGGCCTGATTTCACCGCGATGTGACAGATATTCCTCCTGTCTACAGCACACAAAAGGGCGTAACATCTGGTGCAGATTGGTTGGATATAGAACGAAGGTTTCTCGCAGTCCCACATCATGATTCATCACCATCATTATTTCTTATCCCACATCAGTAGACCAATGACTTACCAGTACATCTTAAATCCTGGAATCTCTATCTGTAACAGTTACTTGTCATACTAAGTATGCAAGTAATACACTATTGGACACTATCATGTGCACTTTTTTTCTGCTAATCAGATGACGTCAATGTCATATAAAAGGGGCAAGGGAAAAAATTGAAGAGAAAAAGAAAAGAAAAAGAAAGGTTTCTTAAAGGACAATACGAACCC